TTTTTCTTTTATTCGTTGTTAGAAAAACGTCTCACTTTAGTGAAATTAACAATCATCAATTTACGTGCCTCGTCGTTGTTAAATATAGCAGTAAATTCAAGTTCTTTTTTAAACAAATCTAATCTATAGAAGGTTTAATTGATTGATTGATTGATTGATTGATTGATTGATTGATTGATTGATTGATTGATTGATTGCGGATACAAAGAAAATAGCCAAATCTTTAGACAGATTATACTTTCTCCACGTAAATTGGTAATTACCTTCAATAAAAGCAACTTTACAGGAGGCAATTTGTAAATTTAAGTGATACACTTTTTTGCATGCAGAAGGATGTCGCTTAGAACACACACAAACTAAGACATAAATATGTAAATGTACAAGTACAAATGTTGCTATAATGCAGCAATTGAGAAGCTCCGCGCAAAAAATGCACTCATTATAGATACCTTACCAAATTATTCCTACGCACAGGTCATGTTATATTCAGATTAAGTACTATTTTAGATTTTTTTTTCGAATGTTTTGTAAATCATTTTTTGCATAATTTTGCTTATCTTATGCACTGTCCATAATTAAAAAGAGGGGCCAGATATTTAATTTGAAAAAAATGCTTTCACTGATGCCTACCTGGTAAGGAAAGTAATTCCATTGAATACAAACAAGACTTACAAGACTTGTAAATGTTATTTGACATGACTGTACTGTGTTCTGTTTGTGTCACTACTGTAGTCAGTAACATAAGATGATAAAAATATCAAAGTCTATTTTTTTATTATTATAATTGTAACAAATATACAAATAGTAACAAAAGGGACTAATATTATAACATATTAATATTAAATGCATTTTTTTCATGTCAAATTAAAAAATGGTTTCTTTCAATACTGATAGAAGACTTTTACCTGAATTTTTGACAGGTATGAGGAAATTCACTATGCAAGTCAAAGATATAAAAGCTACTTGACATTGGTGATACTCGTAAAAACCTATTGTTAATTGATTTATTGGGAGATCAATACACTTTTTTGCTGAATTGCTTTAAAACCATTAATAAAAAACAAGCAATTATCATAGTATCGCAAGCAATCCATAAGTCCCCTACCGGCTAGAACCCCAGCAACATTCTGAAGGTCAATGGCCCTTCACTTATGTTTCTATTTTAAGTAAATTTGTTGAAAAAGTTCTTTAAAAGTGATCACAGGAAACAGTTTTTATGTACAGACATACAGACGGACTGAAGGACACTCTAAAGTTATTTTTTAAACATCCCTGTTATCAAAATATAACATTTTTAAAAGCAAAATTCTTAAAAAGGAGATAACTCTTGAAATAAAGATGCAAGACGTCATACATGATGTTAGTGTAACAAAGAACAATTAGTAATGAAGGTGTTGAAAATGAATGTTTAATTTTAATTTGAAGTTAAAGAAATTAAAAAGAATGAATAAGAGACATTCAAAGTTTAAGGAGGAGATAACTCTAGAAATATGGATGCTAGCTAGATTTATAAACCTTGTCATATAATTATGATGTGGGAGTTTGAAGAACATCCTATAATGATTGAAGAAGTTGGAGTAAAAATTACCAATTTCTCGAAAAAAAGTATAAGTTCAAAAGGGGCATAATTCTGAAAATGGTATTGCTAGAGTACTAAACTTTCTCACAAATGTTGAGTGATAATAAGAAGCATATATATGAAGTTTGAAGTAGATACATTAATTTAAGAAATAAAGCAGTTATTAAAAGAAAAAGAAAAGAAAACTCTAAGTTCAAGGGAGGAAATTCTGATAAATTTTGTGCTAGAGTTGTAAACCTTGTCACATATGATGTGGTTGATGACTAGAATTATATTTAAAGTTTGAAGAAAATACCTTAAGAAATAAAGAACTAATAGTGAAAAACCGTAAAAACTAGAATCAGAAATTTTGAAATTCAGTCTATTTGTTGCCATAGCAACCAGAATTTTCAACACAGGAAGAAAAGAAAAGGATGTGCATAATATCCAGACTGCAATCTACCCATATTTCAAGTTTCATAAATATATTACCAGTACTTTTTGAGTTATCACTGAATACAGGTTATGTGTAAAATTTGCCATATTTTCAGTCTATTTGTTGCCATAGCAACCAGAATTTTCAACACAGGAAGAAAAGAAAAAGACGTGCATAATCTCCATACTGCCATCTATCCGTATATCAAGTTTCATAAAAATATTTTCATTACTTTTTGCGCTATTGCGGGATCCAGTATTGTGGACTTACGGACGGACAGACGGACGGAGGGTAAACTTAAAGTCCCCTCCGGTAAACGGGTAGGGGACTATAAACTATACACCTCATGTTCAAACTGCAGATCAAAGTTTCTGTTGTTACCAATGATGCGATCTATCTCTCTATAGTTTATGCTTAATGAGGGTCCATCCGCCCGTACGGGCATAAAATGCAGCTTTCGCTGTCGAGTACGGACCCCTGGACATGTCACCATTCATGCCCTTAAAGAGTTAACTTTGAAGCACAAAGTGTTGATAATTTACCTCCGTGCATCATAACAATGAAGTGTAACTTTATATACTAAAGTTATAATTATTTCAAAGCAACCAATATATCAACATGTTATTATTAAACATTTAGTTTCATAAATATAAATTAAGAATAATTATCAAAAGCAAAAGGCATCTTTTCTATAGAAAGAATAGTTCTCTATTTTTAAAGCAGCACGCCTCCAGATTAATGTCAATTTTCATGAAAATTTTAAAAATGTATTTAAAAGTAAAATATTGTGAAGTGAACAAATGAAGTAATTTACGTATTGCAATCCGGCACTTACAATTTAAGACAATTACCAAAAAGTGGTAAATATATGTAAAAGCAGCCCTTACTGCGTTAGTATCGCAGTAGAGATATGTTGATAAAATCCTGCAAAATCAGTCTTAAACCGCACATAACATGAACAATTTAACTTGGATCTTGAATATTTTTACATTTCTTAAAATGTTAGTACATTTTTCTCAATATTAATTTTCTTAAAATATTTTGGCTCATCTGGAGGCGTGCAGCTTTAAACTATTATCGGATACTGAAGTATCAAGATGAGTTACAGTAAAAGAAAGTATGTCGAAGCCGAGCCAGTTGTCCTTAATGTATGAAATTTTGTTTCGTACGCTTCTAATATTTTGACTGTATATCGATAAACAGTTAATTTGCGATTCAATGTTAGGACCGGGATTACTTTCAACGTCTCCGCTAATTATCAGTTATTGTAACAAGATAGTGCCAATTATAAAACTTAGCCAGTGTAAGTCAAAATTAGAATCACACTCTTGAAAAATCCAAAACTGAATGATTTCTCGTCACATACTGATCTGTACAAACAGGTTACTACAATCATAAAAACGTATAATAAAGCTATTTGGTTAAAGCTGCCTAAAAATAGATTTCTTGATGAACACATATATAATTTACACATTTTCATATAACCCTGCAAACCGTTATAAAACAATCCTATCGCATTTAAAATATTACCTATTTGGGTAAAACATACATACAACAATAAATATGACGAGTGGCGACAGAAATATTATATAAACATTAACGACAGTTTACATACATGGATCGGAAATATGGCAATCTGTAGAAAAATGAATCGCAAAATAAAAATAGACTTCAAAAAGTAACAAGTTAAAAGTGTGGTTATCATAACTACCATAGCGGCCTCAACAGACGGTAGGAGTTAGTTGTACAGTACTAATTAGAGATAAGATGTACAATTTTCAAAGCTATACAACACTTGCATTCAGACGGTAATTCTACACTGTAAGAATCATCTGAGGTTTCCCCTAAAAAGGATCCCTTTACATTGATCCTTTACATACTTTACTCACTAAATACTATTTTCGCCCTGAGTAATGATTGAAACACCTCCATTTAATATATATCATTTTTACCCCATCTTACTACTATGTTTACCTTAAAAGGCTTTAGCCCTAATTGTTCTGGAATTTCATTCATTACATCCATTATCAGGAGATAATTTGGTTATCTGTAACTTGTCATTGTGCAAGGTCTGTAAAAATCTCTACGACAAGATTTTCAAAATAGAACATGTCCTATCCCTTACATCTAGACTTAAGGTTTCCGAAATCAAGAAATAGTAGCCTTCACACATTAAGATTTGTCTGTACATCTTAGTTTTAATTGGTGCTGTACTTTAAAATCCTACCGTCTGTTGAGGCCTTAACATAACGTGTAAGAAAAGCGACTTGTTAGCTCACCTTGCACATAGTGCAGGTGAGCTTTTAGGATGGCCAATCAAATGCGTCCGTCGTACGGCGTCCGTCCACATTTTATTCAAACGACATCTTCTATAATACCACTTGGCCAATATTAATGAAACTTGGCAGGAAGACTCTTTGTATGAAGCTCTATCGAGATTGTTCAAAGAATGCCATTCCATGCTAAACTCTGGTTGCTATGGCAACTAAAAGAAAAAACCTAAAAGTTCTTATACTTCAAAATGGAAAGGGCTAGAGCTTAGATATTTCTCACAAGGCATTAGCTTGTTGGTTTCTGCAAAGTGTATTCAAATTATGGTCTAGAGTTGAAAATTGGTCTCTATTCTGGGGGTTAAAGGGGTTTTTTTTATTGCAAGGTTATATAGACTTTCTTTGAGATAAATTGAGATAGTGCATCTTGTATTTTTTGTCTAAACAGACATTGTTATGAAGATTTTTCTGTGAAAGCATAAGAAATATTAAAAGTTTGTTGAATGTGAATGTTAATTCAAAACAGAGTCAATCAGAAAAGCACAAATTTGAGAGCTACAGTGAAGTTGATTTCCCCATTCAATAATGGATTCTTCTATTAATTTCGTAACACCATCAGAAAGGAAACTGTGTCACTTCCGAAATACATTGCTTCCGAAAAAATGTTGTATTTTTTTTCACAAAAATTAGTTGATTAAGATAAAAGTTTAATTTACAGTACGGATATTACTTTGAAACATTCTTCCGGTTTGCGGGAAAAATCATATATACACCGGTCTTACTGATGAACGAATTATGTCATAATATTTCATTCTGAGAACAAACATGCAATTCAAATCATTTAATAATGCATATCAATCAGTATATTCAACAACTTTGCCGCAGAAATTATCTGTATCAATCTGACCTCGAGTTGAGATTATAAATATAACTAAACCGGAAGTATGACGAAACGTCCGCCATGTACAAGAAAATTGAGAAATTTTGTAACATAAACTCGTATTTCACAACAAAGAAGTGAAGATGAATACAATTATCGGTGTGCTTCGTTGAAACACGTATTTTGTTAACTATTTGTGAAGTGTTAAGGCATGACATTCAGTATTTATGTAAATGTAGAGTTACCGTCTGAATGCAAGTGTTGTATTATCTCTAATTAGTGCTGTACAACTAAATTCTACCGTCTGTTGAGGCCTTGAGATAAAGCATGCTTAACTATGTAAAAACACAAACTTACTGTTATATATGACCATTGATTAAGTTTTCAAGAGAGATACATAAAAACCGGTGAAAAACGTGCCCTAAATATTTCTAAAGGTACGCGACCTACATATATTTAATCTATGAAACAAAAAAGTAAATGAATAAAAATACAACATGCATAACCTATTTACAAAGTATGACTACAGAATTTATACATTTATTTACATGGTACATGGAATTATTGATAAGAAAAAATACTTAAATTGTTTTGTTGTTACACTAAAAAAGCAATAGGAATTGAATACAGTAGGAAAATGCATTGCATCAACCAAAATTGTGTAGAAACTGTGACAATATACTGGTTTAGCGCCATTTTCTACCTTATCCGCGACATTAGAACGATTAATTTTGTTAAAATATAATTGCAAAATATTTTAAAAAGATTGATCAAATTTACATTTTTTGTAAGTTTTCCAAAACTTGGCTACAGTTTAAATACTTTATATTGACAAATTTGCTGATTTAACATCTTTGATTATTACTTTTAAAGCAGCATGGCTCCAGATTCGTGTTGATTTTCACGAAAATTTTGAAAACGTTTCTAAGAGTAAAATATCTCAAGTTATTGCGCAGTTAATAAAAAAAATAATTTACGCATTGCAAACGACACGAACGATCAACTTAAATTATATTAAAGAACCAGGTCAGAATATGCAATATAGCCCCTACCGCCTTAGTCACGCAGTAGAAATATGGTGATACATTTGTAAATACCGTAAAATCAGTCATTAATCGCATACAACATGTGAATAATTACTTGTATATTGAATCTTTTTACTCCTGGTGTTGATTTTTGGCCAGGTTTCAAAGGTGAAGGGTTATAGTATGGTGAATGTTTGCCGACTTAGTTAAATTTTTAACATTAATGGTTAATGGTAGGAAATTTTTCGTAACAGTTTTCTCAGCAACTACTTATCACAGCCTTTTAATATTTGGTATACAGCATCAACATGTGGTCCCATACCGTTGAATTCAATTTCAAGTATGTCACTCATCAACTTCCTGTTTGCCAACTTAAATTAGATTTCCACATTAGCGGTCAATAGTAGTATCAGCAGGTTGTGATGTTACGAAAATATCCTACCATTACTGTCGAAAATTTAAATAAGTCAGTAAGCAGCCACAGCCCATGTACAAATTTGCTCAAAACATTTCATCTGAATATAATTATCCTTTGAACAAAGCATACACCACGTAAATTCTTTTTGTATTTTGGACTACTGACAAAAAATTGGAAATAAATAAATATTTCCCGCTGCACGATCTTATATATCCGTGTTATATTCTATTCGCTTTTATTTGTGAAATATCAAGATCGCAGACAGGTTCAAATCTGTGGTTGTCGAGAAGTATTTCGGGTAAACTTAAGGGAATTAAGGGACGGACTGACAATGCGGAAACAATAAGCATTCCATTTCTTTCCTGTTATTTTCTAAAGTAACTGTTTCTTAAATTATAAAATAAAATATTATTATATCGACTTTGAAAAGTTTGTACCTAGACTGAAAATATATTGCATAGTGAAAGTCAAAAAAATACTACACATATCCATACGTGAAGCTATCATGATTAAATCTTTATCATTTGTATTGGTCAGGAGAAATTCCAACTAGATGGTTTGTATTAATTTGACCGTCGGTCTTGTCGTCTGCGACATAACCTTTTATACAACATCCCTACTTCCTGTCGGAACTGTATGTCAAAGCAGCTGTAGATAAAACAGTTTACTACGCTGTTGATAAATACACAGATCCTTGTTATGTGTTTTGGAATATGAATATCTATACTGTGGTATGAGGGGGTCAATCGTCTCAGTTTCCTAACGATTTCCACAGATAAAAATGGAATATAGCTAATACAAAAGAAAACTGTCACTAATATAAAAGCTAGGGTTATTTGTCGAATTCTTTTCCTTCTCAGGTGATTGTCATTTGTTGTCTCTGTTTTGATATGGTTGGAGGAGCAGGTTGCTAAAGTCTCGCTTTTATCTCTTGTCTTGCCCTCAATGTTATCTGGATTATATCCGACTTCTGGCGTATCAATTATCTTTGAACATGAAGTTGATAGTTCTTTATGTCTATTTAAAACATTTAGTTTTATATGCTTCAAACCTGTTACACCACTTTTGTGAACACCATCAAACCTTACTTTGGCATGTAATCTTGATGCTGCTTTTAAAATGCATGCATACATAGATACCAAAGCGCATAACGACACAAAAGCTATCAGCGCCATAAGTATACAATGATAAAGGGCATAAATTATGGTGTCTTTAACTGAAACGCACACTGTAAATGTTTCATTTTTCACGGATTTTGTCCTTACCTCAATGAATGCAAGTAATGGACATGAACAAACACAGGCAGATATCGCAGCAATAAAGCAAAGCAGTTTAGCAACACGGTTTTTTATCTGCCATCCATGTGGCCGGCATACCTTTCTATATCTGAAATGAAAACGGAAATAAAGACATGATGTATTAGTAATAAAAATGAGAAAAGAAAGCCCAACACGTTGAAATTGAAAATGTTGCAGGCTCGGTTTGATTGAGCCTGTTCATGGACTGTAATGGAATGTGCAAGTTAATGTCCACAACCCCTAGCACTGGCAAAAGCAGATTCAACATTAAAATTTTGAAACATCCGCAAATGTGTTCATATAGCGGTTATCATGAAACCTTCAATGTGACACGTTAGTGCCATTCCATGAAAAGCGGTAAGTAGTACATGGGTCTCTTTAGCGTCACGCACCGCGCATGCACCAACATTTCGGAGTCACTTCCGACGGCCATATTTAGTACGGGGTGAGAAAATGTGTGAGCGGCAGCCATCTTGGACTCTAACTTTTAATGTTCTACACGAATGATTTTTGTTCTCTTACATCTTAAGTGTCTCAATTTTACTTCTTTACTAAATATTTTATGCCCTTTGATTTTACCGATGTTTATCCCTCGATGTCCAACTCGTAAATGAAATGAGTCACTAATCTAGTTTTAGTCCAGACATTTCACCATGAGCTATTTCATCAGCCCCACGTAGAATGACGCATCGGTTTATAATTACAATGACATCATAAATTTTCGCCCGTAAGTATACCCGAGCTGGACATTGGGGATTAGCTCCTCGACGACAAGTATAGGCGAATTATATTCAAATATTATCCATATAATAAATCCAATTTATTTAATGATTGATGTAAGATAACTAGTTAAATTGAAATCGTTTTATTTCATTAAACAGTGAACAGAGAAACCGAAATTATTATTTTTATCGACGATGCCTTAAAAAGACCCTTATTGCGCGGTGGCCATATTATTTGTATGGCTTCATTTTACTGCTACATACACCTTTAGGTAGGTATACGAGAAACATCAATACTTTTTAACAAGAAAACATAAGCAATTTTGATGTCTAACAATGTAATTAACTATTTATTTAAACAGCATACTGGTCAATACATACAGTATGTCATGCCTTTTTTCTGATATTTATATAACGTCAAGTACATTTTTTTACAGAACATGCGAATAATAAGAGGATATTTTTTCATTTGAGTGAAATATGGAATATATTTTCACGAAACTTGATATAATGCCACATATTTTAAAATATGTGGCCTTTTATCATGTTGAGTGAAAATATATACCATATTTCACGAAAAACGAAAAAAAAACTTTTTATTTAATCACATTATCATTATCACAGAAAAATGGTTACGAACCAAATTGCTTGCTACGCAACTGCAACTGTACAGCGCGCAGTAATATATTATTGCGTCTTTTTTGCACGCGATATTAAGCTACATTGTGACGTCACGTTAACAACTCTTTGAACGTATGTACAGCGTTAATAACTGAATTAAAGATATTGGTGTTCGGATTTATTTTCTTAGTTAGACCATTTTCTATCATTCTAGATAGTTTTCAAAACAAAATTCAACAAAAACTTGTTTTGTATTTCTCAGATTTTCAAACAAAATTGCGAAAGTAGTCCCTAAATATAAATATGAGTTTCGACTCCGCCCACTTTCATATTTATATTTCATATTTATTTTTATCACACACCCGTGCCGATTTTGCGACTCCGGAAAAATGGTATTGCACGGCCGTGCATATATTTTGACGTGACGTCATTAGCGTTATACAAACATAGTGTAAGACGCGCTAAATGTTAGCGTTATACTATAGGCGCGTCAATGAAAAATGACTCTTATTTCACTTTAAACTGTCTTTATTTTGGGTATGTGATAAATAGAATGTTCGTGTAAGTTCATAACTGAATTGATTGCAATCGTTGAATAAAATAATATAATAATAATAAAATTTTATTCAACTCGTGCAATAAATTCAGTATTGAACTTACACTCATTCAATATCCTCTATTTCAAAAATATGAAATATATTTGACTGATATAGCACCATATTTCATGGGTAAATTTAAATAAAACCGGATAAAGGAGCCTAAAGATTTATTTATTCATCTAATTCTCATTCATGTACATACACAAATAAAATTCATAAGCAAACATAAAACACAAAATAGTACATGACCATTCAACTATTGAATTATAAGAGACTAGTAAAACATTTATAATAACGCCATAAAATATTATACTTATCATAAAAGTATATCCAATTATAAATAAAAACTAACTACATAGTACAGATACTATAAATGAATTGAAAGAAATATACAATTAACTACTAGTATTTATATGATTAAAAAACAGTTGCCATTTTTTTTATTAAATTGACTTTAAATGTACAGAAAAACGGTTTATTTATTTCGCGCGGTCATCTTTACCAATCAACAGGTATTTGTGCTGTCCTAAGTTAACCTTTCAGGGTTTAGCTACAACGGTCCTTTATTAATTTGACATATGTCATCTCAATTATACGCGGTTCAAAGCGCCGGTTTACTTAGTCATTCGATCAATTAAAAACGGGACCCGAGCTGTTAAATGTTAAGTTAAAACCCGTTAAATGCCTATTAATAAATCCAAATGAACTTTCGCTAATTGCATAATAGTCTCAGTAAAAAGTTCAACTTAATACCATACGAAGTACACAACTTTTTAATTGGAAACCGACACACGCTAGATCAAGCTTTATTTTACATTGCATTTAAAACACCATGTCTTAATGAATGACCTGGTATTTTTATCTCATTGAATGAAACGCTTAATGTACAAATCAATGAGTTACAAACCTTGACACTACATTTTCAGTTACTAGAGAAATATCAAATTAATGCTAGCTATAACTTATTACGATTTATTATGAATTTATTTTTTACAAGCTTAGTAATAAGCTAGAGATAAGGTCATCAGTGCATCAAACCTGATTATGGTTAAAATGTCAAATACCGATTAATTTTACGTCCGCTTTATATCAGTCAATACAAACTGACCATAATAGCTTACGGTGATTTAGACGATTCTGTTCAATTTAAAACTTAATGCGAAATAAAAGAAAATAAGATGAATCTTTTACGCCCTTGGTGTTTACCCGATGTCTATCACTCAATGTCCGACTCATAAATGAAATGAAATTCGCGAATCACTGATATATTTATAGTCCAGATATTTCATCAAGCCCCACTTGCTTGGATGATGAAACTAATTAAGCGGTATAAGTAAATAAATTGTTTAATTACAGATATACATAACTATATACGAATTATGTTTCAATATTATATACATGTATCTATAATACAACCCTAGATGTTATGGCTATACTCATTTTGAACAAGAAGTTTCCAGAAAAATTGTTATTTATCTGCGAAACCACCAGACACGTCTACCAGACACGTTAAAGCTACATTTGTGCACGAATTGGCACACTGTCTTTGAAAACCCGAAGTCTTTCACGGAATCAAATGGCAACAGACACGTGCATATCTTTTTGGATTGACAAGTAACATTATAGAAAAAAACAACAGAAAATACATTACATTACTGTCCTTTTACTAAAGGCGTGAATTGGATACATGTTCCAAATTGCGATGTTTTACCATCTTCATACCAATTTGTGACCATATGAAATAACTGTACATGAAGAACTGTTGTTTTTTTTAACTTGAAAATCCTATATAATTATAGACACACACTCTATGCATTCAAAACACCGCAGGGGTTACTATATGACCCTGTTGGTTCGTTTTACTGTGAGAAACTAATGCTAGCTAAAAATATTTCTAACATTAATTAAATATGTAAGAGCGGGCGTATAAATTCGTTTCCCCTACAGATTCCGTCTATAATCAAATGATACCCCAGCGGCCATTCATCATCGACTCACGCTTTTCTTATGATTTAATTATTTTGTATCTGTCAACGCATTAGGGGTCTTACCATCCTGTAACTTAATGACACCATTAAAACTATGAATTAACCCTTATTACAAATTTAGTCCAAAATTTAGACTCCATTATTTTTCATCGTGATAATTAAACAAAAGGAGGTATGGATTTATTTTCTCTCTGTGTAGTGTTCAGAAAATCTATCAATGTTTCAGTTATATACAATGTAACTTATCGCGTCAAGATTTTTGGTTTAAGATCATCTTTTAAAAATATGAACGAAATATGAACAGATACCAGAAATTATTCGACTCTCTTTTTAACGACATTATTCATCTTTTTATGGCCTGGTCATGCATCCCATAGTAACGATTTCTTGTACCCATGGTTGAAAGAATGCTATTTATCAAACACTCTTAAAAGTTTAAAATTTCTAAAAAAAATAGAAATGTGTCGTCACGCAACGGATGCCCCGCCCGCATCAAGCCAAAATTTCAGAGTGCTGAAACTGAAAATTCAAAATTTTTCCAACATTCAAGAGAGATAACTTTGTCCAAAATCATTGAACCACGACCAAATTTAAACTTGAATAGTTTATTATTCCTAAGATGTATCTATATGTCAAATTTGAGTTGAATGTGTACAACCATTGGGGAGATAATAAATGGAAACTTAAAATTTCTTTTTTTTTCAAAGTTCCAGAGGGATAACTCTGTCATCAATCATCAAACCATGACCAAATTCGAAACTAACCAATGCATTCTTATGACATATCCATATCTTTAATTTGAGTTGAATATGTACAACTGTTGGGAAGATAATGAATGGGAACTGAAAATTTCCTTTTTTTTCAAAGTTAAAGGGACATAACTCTGCCAAAAAGCATTGAACCATGACCAAATTCGAACTTGAACTGCGCATTCCTTTGACACATCCATATGTCAAATTTGAGTTGAATATATAACACTGTTGGGGAGATAATGAACAAAAACAGAAAATTTCATATTATTTTCAAAGTAAAAGGGGCATAACTCTGCCAAAAATCATTGAACCATGATCAAATTCAAACGTGACCTGCGCATTCCTTTGACGTATCCATATGTCAAGTTTGAGATGAATTTGTAATACCGTTGGGCAGATAATGAGCGGAAACTGAAAATTTCATATTATTTTCAAAGAAAGATTTAAGGGGCATAACTCTGCCAAAAATTATTGAACCATGACCAAATTCGAACTTGACCTGTATTTCTCATGAAATATCCATATGTCAAGTTTGTGTTGAATGTGTAATACCGTTGGGAAGATAATGAGCGGAAACTGACAATTTCATATAATTTTCAAAGTAACATGATGAATGTAACGGATATTGTTGTGTACACTTATGTCCCTTTACGGCTTTTTAAATGTTTACGGTACTAGTATATCCATTAATGTTTTTACATAGAATAATAAGTACTATGAACAGAAATGCATTTTAAATAATTTGCTTTGAAGAGATGTGTAATCGATTATAAGTCGATCCATCTCTGATAGATTAATACAGCGTGGAAAGATTTAACGCGTTTAATACCGTAAATCCGTCTGTCGAATAATATTGAAATGATCATTTTAAACAAACTTTATATATTTATTTTACGGGTTTACACTGTTTTTCCATGCAAATGACATTAATTAATTGGAAGATTAATATCAGAGTGTCGGTCAAGAATAAGCTTATAATACAGAAAGTATAAGTACATAATAAGTACATTTTAGCAACAGTGATAGCAAGGTCTACATCATTTTAGACTATCCACAATATAGACAATTTTCATGTTTATTTGCAATCTGGAACAAACGCTATAAATAAATTGTTACTACTTTGTTATTTTATTTGTTTTGCTGAGTAAAATTATAGTATTTTTTCAACAAATACTAGCATTAGCGGTTTGGCTGTAAAATATGTTATGTGTAAATGTTTATATTGACGTCAATAATGTTCTATCATAAAAATTACTTGCCTGTAAACAGCAACTAACAGTAGGGTGAAAACTGATCCAGTGAAAATTAAACCCATCATGAAATCGAAGATCCTACAGGTATAATCACTGGCATATGTCCATGGATTGATGTACATGTATATTATGAAAGGAATAAGAACAATACAAGCACCGATATCATAAATGCTCAGAACTATAATAAAAATTGCATGGTTTGTTAACTTTAACCTGAACGCATATACGAAAATAACATGCAGATTACCAACAAATCCAACAACCATCAGACAAGACAGAATAACCACAGATGGAATAAAACTTTCCGAGTTTCTTTCATCAGCCATTTTATTTTATGTAAAACTTTCAAACAGATGTGTGGTGAAACAATTATTAACAATAAAATGAACTTTGTTGAAATATAATCGATGACAATTATAGATCGACCAAGATAGTAATAATACAGCGGAAAACATATTAAAGGATGCAGTACAGGAACACAAGATCGGAAATGTGCAGCTATTGTGATAATAAATTATAATCAAAAGAATCGTTCATTAAAGGAAATGTTAAATGTTTATTAAACTAAGCAATAGTACTCTCTATTGATAAACAAAGAAATTTGTCACAGTAATTTATCGTCGTATTAACAGGAAATTATATCTAACCTGCAAGTAATTACTATATGATATTAGTACAGTTACAACCATTTTGAACAGGGCTTATCAAAGAGACATTGCAATATATTGTATATTAAAGTACACTATCTGAATAATAAAAATGTACATGCAAGTAGCAGCATTTAAGTGATTTAACCTACATGTACATTTGTATTTAAAAGATGCATTACTTAATACGGCTAAAAAAACTCATTATAAGATTGCTGAAAAATGATTATAAACCTTTCATGAAATACTTCTGAAAGAATGTATAACCAAAATACAAAAACAACAACAAAAAAAACGAAACGAACGAACAAACAAACAAAACCAAAAACAACAAAACCATATGGATGTTAAGCATAGAGTAAACGTAATTAAATAGATTTATTCATCACATGTACTGTCATAGGTAATCTGTTAAAATATTGTACTTGTAATCTTTTCTTCCAGTCTATTCATTTTCACTTTGAACGGATGATTCTTAGGTTTTCATAAATATTTAGATTTGAACGTATCCTGTGACGAAGATTTTATGTTTTCTTCGGGATAATTGATGCCAGCACTATTAAATGTTGAGAACTGAGTACCGCTCAAGCCGTTGCTAGGGGGCGTGAGGGATGTTGCACGTATACATTATCCCTAATGTATAGACTCAATCAAACCGAGTCTGCAATTCTCTTGTAATTGTGTTGTGATTAATGCTTCCGAGGGATCACTTTGTTTTCAGATTTTTATTTACTGAACATATAAACACAAGTTTTGAGAGAAGTACATTTTAAATAAAGATCTCTATTTGAATGCAAAAATCAATTAAGTTAAAGATGCACTAATGTTATCCACGCATGAATATGAGCATAAGAGGTATCACTATAGGAACTATAATGTAAAATGTTATGAGTGTTTTATATGAATATATGAAAACTATGACTTCAATGTAATATGTTATGAACTTTGAATTAAAGCATCTTTGATGTTTTCATAGAAGAACGAAAACTGAAAAAAGGTTGTAGAACTTCACTGGAAAGATAAAAAAAGAAATATATATTAAGTAAAACTCTACCATTTCGTTTTGGCATTTGTAATCTAAAGTGTTCTTTCTTTGAAAGGAAGTCTTGTCTTCTAAAACGTTGTAAATTAAAAAGCACACAATTCATTACAGAAAATTTATACTGTGATACATATGAATCTAGACGAAATAATCTCTGATATAAATATATACTAGTCTGGCTATTATAAATTTGGAAATCTTGTTAATTTTACTGACAGAGGAATAATTAAGAACCACATAATTATGTTTTTATCACACAACTGCCGGGCGAGGGTGGAATATTAATTCAATTTTGATCAATGGATCTTTATTTTCACATTCTTTGGTAATGTTCACCGTGATGTAGAGGTCTAACGAACCACTGGGGTGAGTAACCAGAAGCTTTCGTTAAAATCACGCTAACGAAAGCGTTAGCGATCGCGTAACGAACACGTTAGTTATTTTTACGATTGTTTTTGTTGCATAACCAGAAAGCATCGTTACGTTATCGCTGTTCAGTCGTTAGTAAAATTCATTAACGAAATCGTTGTGTAATCGTTAAGGGTATACACAGCATTTTGGCACCATCCGTTATTAGCCTTTCCTGCATAGATTACATTGCACGTACAAATAATTGTTTTTAAACTGTTTATAAATTGTTTTAAAATATTGTTGTGCAAATGTACAGCCATATATATCTGTGAACACACAGCTTCTTCAAAAGACAGTTGACACTCTATATAAATCTTTTTGTTTGTTTGTTTGTTTGTTTGTCTGTCTGTTTGTTTGTCTGTTTGTTTGTTTGTTTGTTTGTTTGTTTGTTTGTTTGTTTGTTTGTTTGTTTGTTTGTATACCATACGTTCATCGTATAACGCATCTAAAGGAAGCAATCCTAAGTCTTCGGATATACAATACAATACAGAACAGAACATTATTTTATTTTGACATGTACATAGTACATAATCATACTAAGTGTGATGATACATTGATAGAAATGCATAAACAATACAATTTCAATTCTTATTTTCAATGATTTTTAAAATAAACTTTGAAGACAATGTCACGTTACATTTTAATGGCGTTATATATAGTATGAGCTTCAGTAATTATACTAGACCGTTATTTCAAAACAACAAAAATTGATATTATAGTGTTGAGGATAAATTGTTTTAAACGTAATTAAATATACATGTTTATATAACAGATATATCATCAGAAAATATCTGAAATATACATAAAATTGTTAAATGGAATTTGAATGTTCTTTAATACAGACATATACATGTATATTCATTAATAAAATTCATCAATACATTACAATACAATACAAAACAATACACTCAAGTTTATTTGCTTTAAACATTATAAAACGTTTCTAGCAAAATATATAGACAAGAAATATTGTTATATGACCATAATTACAACTGAACATTTTGGATTTGTAACAAAATACAAAAGGAGAGACTAGATATAAGTTCATTGCCTTGCAGACTATTTCGGTCTTGACAGGTTATATATGTGTGATGAAATAGAGGAGTACACTATCTAACACTATCTAAGAGAAAATGTAAAAGTGCAAAGTAAATAAAAATCAACAAGAGCCATGTCAACATGGCCATCCCCCGCCGAATGTGTTTGCTCATTGGAAGAATGTATATGTAGTAGAACAGAATAATTCTATTTTAAGAGGTCTTTTGGTAATGAAAACTGATGGCTATAGTGATTACAGATTTGAAACCTATGTGAATACTGATGAATGAAAATAACAAAGGGCAATAACTGAAAAATAATGCAGGGTAGGTTATCATTCTTGTGTGCTGCATCCCTCCTCAGTAAAATCTATCCACCTATGAAGTTTCAAGTTGATACCTCAAATACTTTTTGAGAAAAAAAATTGAATTGAAAAATTAAGTATGAAAAATAACAAAGGGCAATAACTCAAAAATTATAAAAGGTAGAGTTATCATTCTTGTGCATTGCACACCTCCTGAGTGAGATCTATGCACCTATGAAGTTTCATTTTGATATCTCAAAGGCTTTTTGAGTTATGCTCTGGACAAAAATTAATTTTGAAAAATAACAAAGGGCAATAACTCAAAAATAATGCAGGGTAGAGTTATCATTCTTAAGCACTGCACTCCTCCTCAATGAGATCCATCCACCTTTGAAGTTTCAAGTTGATACCTAATATACTTTTTGAGATAAGCTCTGGACAAAATAGCATAAAAAAACAAAGGGCAATAACTCAAAAATTGTATAGGGAAGAGTTATCATTCTTGCGAACAACATTCCTCCTCAATAAGATCTATCCACCTATGACATTTCATGTTGATATCTCAAACACTTTTGAGTTATGCTCCACTCAGGTGAAAAATTAGGTATGAAAATAACAAAGGGCAATAACTCAAAAATTATGAAAGGTAGAGTTATCATTCATGTGCACTGCACACCTACTGAGTGAGATCTATGCACCTATGAAGTTTCAATTTAATATCTCATAGGCTTTTGGAGTTATGCTCTGGACAAAAATCAATTCTGAAAAATAACAAAGGGCAATAACTCAAAAATCATGCAAGGTAGAGTTATCATTCTTATGCACTGCACTCCTCCTCAACGAGGTCTATCCACATATAACATTCCTCCTCAATAAGATCTATCCACCTATGACATTTCATGTTGATATCTCAAACACTTTTGAGTTATGCTCCACTCAGGTGAAAAATTAGGTATGAAAATAACAAAGGGCAATAACTCAAAAATTATGAAAGGTAGAGTTATCATTCATGTGCACTGCACACCTACTGAGTGAGATCTATGCACCTATGAAGTTTCAATTTAATATCTCATAGGCTTTTGGAGTTATGCTCTGGACAAAAATCAATTCTGAAAAATAACAAAGGGCAATAACTCAAAAATCATGCAAGGTAGAGTTATCATTCTTGTGCACTGCACTCCTCCTCAATGAGGTCTATCCACCTATGAAGTTTCAAGTTGATAACTCATATACTTTTAGAGATATGCTCCGGACAAAAATGTCGGACGGAAGGACGGACGGACGGACGGAAGGACGGAAGGTCGGACGGACGGACGGACGGAGACTATTTCTATATCCTCCACCGAAAATTTTCGGCGGGGGATAATAAAATTTGGATACTTTTCGAGATAAATATACAATGACAGAAAAATGTAAAGTTATCTCCTCTATAAAATGCTAAAAATAAACATATATCTTGATTTGATATTTCTTTGTGATGAAATACATGTACATAAATAAAGATTTAAACACAATTTAAGAGAAAATGTTAATTATCTTTTCTTTTAAAGGCAAAGTATAAAACTTTAATACATGTGAATCATTTTTTAAGAATAAGGTAATAAATCAGTTTCAAATTTTATGATTGTTGGCCAATGGCAATAATATCTTCGCTAATATCTTAATCGACGCTTTCAAAAATATTGGCGGTAAATAGCAACGTGTTTTTGTTTTGATTTTCATGATGCAAATGAAGGAATGAACTGCTTTTCTGTAAAACTGTCTTTACATAACCTTTGTTAGACACTGGTGAAAATATTAATAAATCTTCGTATGTTGTTAGCTTGAAAATTACATTGGGAAACAAAGCAAGTTCCGATTAATAAACTCTACTTTTCATCAAAAATAGAGGTTAACCATTAATTTAAAGTACATGAAAGGTATATAATGGTTTTCTTAATATACTCCACTGAATTT